TACGAATAACCAAAGCAGTATGAGTTGGTGCATTCAATAAACTCAGACATATTAAAAATCGAAGAATTCACTTTTAGAGCCTCACAAGACGACGCATACCTCAAATACTAATGAATATTTTGACGTGAAAGTTAGAATAATTGTAGATGTCACTAACAGTACTACCAACCTACAAAAAAAATTACCGGTTCGAAAAACAAGCGAGGTATAAATTAAAAATTCACCTTTCAATTTGATCACAGTAGTATATAGGAAGTAGACGTGGTTGTTCATTTTCACAGCCAAATTAGTCATCTAGTTTCTGAGATATAAACCTAATTTTTAACCACTTTTAGGCCACAGGTACCTGTCGCTATTCCCTGTACCAAATTACAGTATACCATATGGATTTCAACTCGATAACTAACAGGACCAGTTTTAGGGGATACAAATAACCGTTAGGTGGTCAAAAGTAGTATACTATGTGGAAATAATTTGCGAGATATAAAGGATCAAAGCCGGGAAATTCCTATTTTCAAGTGTTGACAAAACTTTAAAACCATTCAAAAAGACCATTTTTCGACGAAATTGTTAATGAATTTCATATATTTTTATTAACTTAAAATATTAGTCATAAACTCACTTCTTTTCAACTGCTAGTTTTATGTTCGAAACATTTATATTAAACTTAACTAATACATATATTGGGTATTACCATGTAATGCATTAATTAAGGCGAGATCGAGGTTTATTCAACTTTAATGTTAAATCACATTGTGGTCATTTCATTTCATTAAGTTAATCAGAATGTCAAAAATCTAAAAAATAACCGATAAATTCGACTAAAGTAAACTAAAATAACAAAAAACAGTACATCAGGTAATTCATAGCCAAACACAAAACTACAGTATATCCAAGAAATTGCATTCATAATAAAAATTTACGCTTGAGTTGAAATATCATCAAATATGAGGTTAATGGCCTAATTTATTGAACATTCGGATATAACTGAACATTTAAACTCTCAAATCAAAGCCGGGTAAATACCTTTAGATATTGGCAAAAATTCATTTTAAAGAGGTAAGGCTAAGTTCGGGTGCAACCGAACATTTATACTCTTGCAACTTACAAAAATCAAAGCCAGGGAAATACTTTATGGTGTAAAACGAGCTCCAAGTAATTTTATATATATGTACCTACTATACCATATACTTTTATAACTCCCATACTGACAGACACATAAGGTTTGTTAGAAAGACGAAAACCATTATATGCAGTATATGGAAATTGGGTAGTATCAATCAGATTTTATCTATTTTTCGACTGAAAGCCTAGTAGCCAGTGTCGCTTTTTAATTTATGCTATAATTTATTATTGTATAAATTGTTATAAATAAATAAATAAAATATCTATTTTTCCCAATACCACATACTATACCTGTCACTTACTAAAAATCTCATCATATAGAGTAAAGTCATCCGGATTATGATAGAGTGTAAGGCACAAATATACACTGTGTAAAATACGCTGGCACATTTTCATTGAGTCACCCGGAAGTTCGATTATCTTTATATTAGGCCTATGGGGACTAATCGAAGTATTGGTCCGATTCAACCCATATCATTGTCAGAGAAGTACTATCCCTGAATTTCTATTAAATATCTCAGACATTCTCCAATATTTTCGAATAAAATCAACTATAGGTAATGAAGTCTAAATATTTGGTACCTAGGGGCTTGAACAGTTTTTATTGGATTGGAACAATTTTGGTCATAAGGTGGCATACACTAAATGTATTATTCGGGCAAAGTTATTGTCTGATTTCACTGAATTTCACAACATGACATAGAAATATGAAAGTAATGCGATTTTGTTGAAATCGGTCAGTCGGATCCCGTGATATGGAATTTCACCAAAAAGTGGGCAGCGTCACGCCCATCGTTCAATTATTACCTCGGCCCCTATAAAGACTTGACATACCATCCCGGCGGCAAAGTTTTACGTTTCGGGCGGATTTAGTTATTGATTTATAGCGTTTTTTGTAGTTTTGAACAGTATCGTTATATCGGGAGTGAGCAAGATTTTCATCCGATTTCATACATTTTTACACTATGGGTAGTTGGTTATTGTAGCTTTAGTGGTTTAGGAGATATAAACATTAAACTTATTAGAGGATGAAACAACAGATGCTTATCTACGAACTCGCAAGTTACAGCTTGCTCGAGCGGACGGACAGACGGACAGATGGACAGACGGACGGACGGACAGACAGACATCCGGATTTCAACTCTACTCGTCACCCTGATCACTTTGGTATATATAACCCTATATACAAATATCTCGATTAACTTTAGGTGATACGTACAACCGTTAGGTGAACAAAACTATAACACTCTGTAGAAACTGCAAGAGTATAAAAATGTTCCGAAAAAAATTCAACATTCATTAATCGTCATAATCGTGAACGGATTACATTCAAAATTATACTATATTTTACTTGGCGTCAGCGAAAAGTATAAAAAAGCATCTTTAAATAAATATAGTATCCCATATAAACTCAATTTATTTTATTATATTACGTTGATGTGTAAAACGTCAATCAAAGAATCGGACCAGCTCCATTCATATTCATATATTAAGTAATATAATTTTGAAGAACACTTATACACTTAATTTCATGAAAATATCACATATGTATGTATTTTGACCAAACTAAACGGTCTTAATGGTTAAAGTCAACTAGAAAACCAGAAATTATCATTCAGGGCATATTGATTGCAAAGAAAAGTCTCGGCTGGTTCCATTAACCTTTGGCATTGTTCAATTATATTGGATAACATATTTCAAGCAATTTTTAAAATAAATAACTCCTACTGTAATATAGGAACGTTAGAATAATGTTACCAACTGAATTTGGTTAAAATTGGTCTAGTAGTTCCGTAGATATGTGATTTCAGCTAAAGGTGGATGGTGCCGCGCTCATCCACCTATTTTGACACCGGCTCCGATAATGCCCATCTAGTTATTGATTTATGTTTTTTAAGGAGTTCACAACAAAACCTTTATATAGGATGTGGGCAGGGTCATCATCTGAATTCACATACAAGTATTTGCACACTGATGATATAGCTTCAATGATTTGGGAGATATATACATTAAGCTTATTACGGTGTCGGAGTCGTTGTATCAAATAAAAGTCTCGTAGCGTATTGAGAAGTTTAGTTGTGGCACTTTATACATTTTCGATTAAAGGAGGTTTATTTTTTGAATATGGATTGAGTAATTTTATTCGGATCTTTTGTACACTATTGAGCACACTTTTAACAATATGGGGAGTTTTCCACGCACAAAATGTTAGAATTTTTTAGTAGAAAATAGTAGTTTCCACTTTAATGGCTATCAAAAATGTTTAAATGAAAAAATAATTATCAGAGGATATGATTATAATTTGACTAATTTTCTTGTTTTTTTTATTTTCGGATAATTTTTAATCGAGTTATGGTGAACACCCAAATTGTTTGTCTGAAAATGTTCTGGGAGAAGCTCTATTGCCGACTTATGCTTCAATATTTTCTACAAGAAAAAAATACCCTAGATTTTAAAAAGTATGCTCAAAAATATACAAAAGGTTTGAATAAAATTACTCAATGCATAGTTAAGAAATAAATTCGCAAAAAAAATACTTTTTTTTCCTTAAACTGTACATTTCGAACGATATAAAATGACAATTCTTTCATAAAAAAAAATCTTTTTAAAAGCTGCAAATACTTATTATTTAGTCATTCAGTTAGTATAACATTTTCAAAATAATTAGTAATATTTATTATAAACGTATTTATTCATTCACATGTAGTTACAGATTTATTAAGCTGTTATTTTTAATCCTAACTTCAATAAGTTGCTTGTAAACTTTTATGACTGTTTAGTAATTAGAAATAGAATTGATAAGAACCTATTGAATAAAATATCCAAAGTTTTACCGTCAATTAGCGAGCGTATTCAGTGAATATTTTTTTCATATGTAGGTACATATTGTTCGGTTGTTCACTATAAATTGATTATAGCATCTGCCATAGAAATTTGACCGGAAAATTACCATTGAAATAAAAAAAAAACTTTTTATTGCCTTACCTAATATAATATATATTATTAATTATGTTCTTAGCAAGCCAATTTTCGAACTTTGACGGCAAATATTTCAATTTTGACAATTTGCAGTGTTATGTTTTTATATTTAGAGCCAAATTGCATAGTATTTCGAGAATGTTCTAAAGTTTCTCTTTTACATGTATTTAAGTGAAACCATTTTACAATAAAATTTGACGAATAACTTGAAAATACTTTAGCTATGTATTTTAGAAATGTTTCTTTGCTTATATTTATAACTCAAGCTCTACGTACGTACGTACGTAAGTACTTGTTACATTTTAACAATGGTTTAAAACTAATTTCCAGCCAATGGGTGATCATCAGCCTAAGTGCACCGCCTGCGGTCTGGCGTTTCTATGCCTCCTTTTTCAACTTTTTCAACCAATTAAATTTTTAAAGAAATACTAAGAGTTTAATATTTTATTAATTTCCACTGACAATTTCCACATATTAATTAATGTTATTTTTTCTTTGAGATTGTTTTAAGACAGAACCATAAAAGTAACACAACACTCTCAATTTAGAATAAATATATACATATATTAAGTATATATTTTCTTAAGCTGTCGAATAGTCTAATGGCTGCGTGGCATATTTAAAGCCAAATCATTTTTAGTTGTTAAAACTTAATATTTTTTTGAAATAAGCTACCAGTGAAAGTCAAATGTACAGATTATTTCACACTTTTTTCACTTAAGACTAATTATTTTTCTCATATTCAAGTTGCACTGATTTTTGAAATATAATATACAATTTTAACATGGTTAGTAAAATTACATGCATTGCGTTTGATTAATATGTCTGTTTATATACATACTAATGTAACGTAGTAATTATTGTTTTTATAAATATTTTAATGGATTCTAACTCACAAATAAATTTTGAACTTCTCCTCTTTGTTATTCAACTAGTATCGCAATACAAGCAACTTTTTTAGCTATTAGAAATTTATTTTCAATAAAATTAATTTTATTGCCGTCTTTCGCGTTGCTAATAAAATAGTCGTTCTTGCCCGATGTTTAACGATTGAATTGCGAGGAAGGAACACCTGTCGGATTGCTTTAACCTTCACACTACACGACTGCACTGTCCTAAACAGAATGAATAAAGTTGACTGCCAGAGTTTGCTTTTATATATCGGCAAAGTGTAAATCGCTATGTAGACAGCAAAGCAAGTACAACAAAAACAATAACGATAAATGATCCGAAGAAGCGCAGTTCTGGCAGGAAACAACAAGCAACAGTTACAATTACAGCAACATAAAATACCAAAAACAAAACTTATCACTGTAGCAGTCGCCATTGGCGCAGTGTCCAAACGCTAGCATCAAGTTGCGTAGCAGACGAATAATGGTGTGTTGGCAAACGAAGGTGTTCGTAGTGTCACAACACTTTGTGGGCTCTTACACATATCAATATGCGGGAATATGCACAAACTGTTGTGTGTTTCAATGTACATATGTACATACAAATGTCCTAGCACGTTACACAAAAAAATGGGTTACTGTATGCATATGTAGTTACACACATAAGTATGTAACAAATAAGTGAAGACGTCATGATGACATTTTTGGGTGGTTGGTTAATTCCTGATGTGTATATGGCAGCTTTTTGCGGACTTTATGTTGAAAGTATAGCGAAAAATGTACCCTTTTCCAATATAAAAATTGCACATTTCTACATACGTTACTTTATTATCGGCAACATGTTGATAGAAGATCTTTATGGACCGTTGGTATTAGTCCCATAATCGCTTCCTATACGATTCTGATTTCACTTGCGATAGAAAAATATTTTATTATATTCATCAAAAAAAAATCCGTTCTTTTAATATTATCTAAATATTTATTTTTTCATAAACATCAACTTTTAGGAATTAACAACCGATAAATTTATTTCATTAAAAAGTCAATACACAATTAAATAACAACATCATTACAAAAATATTGATAAATACATCCAGAAAGACTTGACATTTAGTACCTTCCAAAAATAGCGTTTTTCCTTTGCCAGATCAATTCCATAAAAATTGTTTTTATTTTCTTTTTTTTACTTAACACATGATCTTTTCATTGTTTTTGGATCTTCTTAATGCGTCACGTCGTGAGGTGAAATAAGTTTTTCTATAGTTCATAAATTAACTATTAAAGGTAGATGATTGGGTAATGTAATATTTACAGATGAAACAACTTGTGTATTGTTCAACCCCTTGAGACGCGTTTGCCTTAGAAAATGAAATATTCAAGATTACCATAATTGCATACTGCAAGAAGACCGTGAGCCTTTATACTTATTGGGAACAAGATATTCATATTTCTAGATTAGATTAGCCATCGCAGTCACCAGATGTTTGAACTTTAATGAAAGCCCTAATATCAAGAAAACATTAACAACGTCAAAGATCGTTCAATATACCATAATATACTATAGTTGCAATTTGCCATTATTGAATATACATTAGCTATAACAAAACAATGTATTTTCTATTATTATAACATTTTGCCAATAAACGCTACCTACAGATGTTATTTCTTGAACGTACTGTAAATACTGTAAATCTTATTACTGGACGAGGTCGGCCTCTTTAATAAGTTTAATGTGAATATATGTATATTATATGTATATTATATACATATATCCTGTTTAGCTACATTAGGATCGGTTTTTTACTGATCCCATTTACTAAACTGATTCTACGTCACGTTAATGGTAAAATGCAATGCTTTAAACTATATTTCATTAAAATGGCAATACATCAAATATATAACAACAGCATTATGATTCTCATAATATTAAATTCTGAACACGTAGGGGGGTCTAAATTTAGTCCAGACCGATTTGACATAAATACTGTAAATCTTTTTACTGAACGTGGTTGTCCTCCATATTAATTTTAATGTACATACATACAATAACTTTAGTTAGTTTAGTTAAACTATGTATTAGCCATCTTCAAATTATCGTCTACTAGTTATAGAACTTTCATGAGGCTTGATTATTTTATGATTTTGCTTACAAACTTAAGGAACACATTACTATTGTACTCCATGAAACATGATTAGGGAATAAAAATTATTTCAATTATAGTATTTATTTTATTGGGTACGTCATTTGACTGTTGCCGTAGGAGATTCTAACTCTTTATCTAATCTTTTCCAATTACTTATAACCGAAATTTTATCCAATATAACGAATTGTTAACGCAGGGTACATATTTATCTACGAGTGTCATATATTAATTTGTAAAGTATTTTTTTTCACCATGGCTGAAGGGAATCACTAAAACTCAGTATATTCACACATAAGTGCCCATTAATAAAATACATTAAAAATGAATTTGCTGAACTTTTTTTTCCAAATAAATGTTAGGTCTTACTGATTGGCTATTGAGCTATATTTACTTATAAAAATACAATACAATTTATACATTTACATACATAGTATATCTCAGCTTTTCTGCCGTATTACATTTTAAATAAGATGAACGTAAATATATTATTATGAAAAAACTACACAAAATTAAAATGTTGGGAATCTGTCATAAATAATAATGTAGTATCACTTTAATGAATGGAAGTCTTGTAAAAAAATAAACTTTTCATAATATATTTTTTATACGTATTTATAGAAAATTTCAAAAACATATGTATCACATTTTTACGCAGTGATTTTATGGCAAAGCATAGAAAATTAAAAAAAGTAATAACAATAACATATCACATGCCGACAAGAGTTAGTTTACAATTCTTTACAATGATAAATTAAATGCGTTTCACACCAACGCAACTATAAATCTACATATGAAAATTAACGAAAGAATGAAGCTAATAATAAATTAACAAATCGTAATAATTTATTTGTCTACTTTAAAATCAAGCGGATTAATTGGTTTTGTATATACATACAAATGTACATATGTATAATGTAAGATTGACAGGCACAATATTGTCAGTATATGGGCTGATAACATCACTTTTATATAGCTTACTGCAGTTTATCAATAACCGACTTTTGAAAGTTGCTACTGGCAACAGTCATGTCAGCTAAATTCTGGTTAACTGTACCAAGATTTCTTCTTTCGGTAAAGAACCTTTTTTTAACCAGAACTTAACTGGCAGATGGCTCCTACTGAGGAATTGAGAAAACGGCCCTAAATGTACTCCATGAGAATGTTACGTTTCAAAAGATTTACGACGTCTAAAAATACCATAAACTGGTTCATATTTAGTTATTTCAGATGTGCAATGTGTAATTATTGAATTATGATAATATGTAGTAACTTTTAAAAAGTTGTAAAAACAGATTTTATGTTCATTGGAAACGTGAGCATGTTTTGCGGTGAAGCGCCAATATTATTTAATTTACATACTTCGTAATTAATAAATCATATCTAACACTATTGGAAGGTTTATATTTTCGTAGAAGTGTTACTGGTTATCCCGGAATCAGTAATTTAAAACTTCCTCTTCTAAGTAGTGCACTTTATTGTACATTTTAATATTGAATAAAATTGCTAGGATCACATGAATTTAGCTTAACTCGAAAAATAATTTCATTTGCAATATTAATTTTTTAAGAACGCATACTCATTTAGAAGCATTTACCGATATATTGTATAACTTATAAACTTAAATAGTCTTGCTATAAACTCTTTTACAAAAGTTATAATGCAGAATGCACAAAAAATAATAATTTAATTTTCGACCTTCTCAAAAACTTTAAATGAAGTGGTCGTTCTCTCGTTCGCAAATCAATGTCACGACTATTGAACAATTGCTCAGCAGCGTCTTCAGTGGCATGCGATCAATGACCATGAAAGTATGCTTCTACAGATGAAAAAAGGTTTACTATTGAAGGACTTTTTAATAAGCTATATAATAGGCGTGATAAAGAAGTTAAACAATACTCTCTTCAATGGAGAGCGTTGAATCTTCTAGCAAAATTCTGCTTCAGCGCATAAAGCAAAACCCGTCAGCTTTGACTTTAAATCAATATTTTTGGCTTCATAGCTGCAGATGATTGGCCTTCTGGAAATACAGATTTAAAGCCATTTGTCAGAGTTGGAGAACATGGCCTGTCAAATACCCCGCAGAAATTTGAGGGGCCTCACAAAATTTATGATTCGAGCACCGTCACCAATACCAATAAAAGATCCTATTTCGAAAACAATTTAGTACATGCTCATTAAATATATGCATTACAAACTTTATTAAAAAGAATTAATTATAGTTTCATTCATATAGCGGCCTGGAATTAACAGAACTTATGACAGGGCGAAGTGTATGAGCTAAACAATTCCAACTGCTATATACGCTTCAAATGGGTTAATAAGTATTTATCTCCGATGACATACGTGATGCGTAAGGTACACCATGCAATATACTCTCATGCACGTCCCCCTAATTAGTCGAAGCTAATTGTCAACACTACGTTTATTATTTACCCGTCCTTCGGTGAACATTACATTCAACAGTGTTTTCTTTTAATTTAAAAGACATCGAGATTGCCACATCTAAAGCATACATCAAAGTTTTGCAAACAATTAAAAAGTAATGAAAAACTTTGCTTTTCTTGATGATTAATAAAAGAAACACTTAAATGTTAGACAATGGAAAGCATACATATTATGTACAAAAATGAATGCAGTTATACCCTGCAGTAGAAAAGATTGTCAGTCGGCTAAGAGCTATCGAATTCTCCACCATGTAGGTTTTGCTTTTTAATTGGTATATGAGCAAATTACTACAAGCTAATGTCAGTTTTTAAGCAAATATTCATATACAGTGAAATTCCTCGTAACCGAACATCCACCAAAATAGTGTCCATGCTCGCTGATTGGAACGTAGGCATGCCCGGTTATAGGAATTGCCTTTGTATGAAAATGGAAGAGGACAGTTTTTTCCATATTGTATAATTAAATTTATTTTAGTATAATTAAAAATTTTTTAAAAACTACAATGTGTATTTAATTAAAATATCATATACTAGAGCTAAGTCCGGTGATTTTGCAAAAAATTCCTTCCTTGGTACCTTCTTCAGGAATAAAGTAATAACTGTGCGCTAAGACGTGAATAACGTGCTGTGGT